TGAGCGTGGAGAGAAGGGGGGGGGGGCGGAGAGGAAGACACCCACACGCACAGAGGAAGAGAGACAGACAGACAGAGGGAGGGAGAGAGGGAGACACACACAGAGAAAGTGAGCAGAGCGAGAGACAAGAGACAAGAGAGATAAAGACAAGAGAGAGAGGGGGGGAGAGATAGAAAGAAAGAGAGGGGGAGAGAGAGGGCGAGAGAGAGAGAGANGAGAGAGAGAGAGAGAGAGAGAGAGAGAGAGAGAGAGAGAGAGAGGCGGGCACGTGTCTGGCGATAGTGAGCTGCAGTAGTTTACTCTCTGCTGAAGACAAACGGAAGGCACAGCCATACAGAATACAACAACGGGCAGTAGAAAGATGTCACGCGTCCGCACCTCCTCCTCGTCCCTCTCGAGCCAAAAAAAACAGGGGCGATAAGGCGACTCAATCAAAACAACTGCACCACCGCACCGAACGCCCAACCCACCTTGGTTCCGCTCCCGGGCGTGGTGTTGACGCCGTCATCATCGACGGCAGAAGAAGCGGATTCGGCGGCCTTCTCCGCCGTGAGGGCGGCGGCGGCGGCGGCGGCGGCGGCGACCTCAGCCTGGGAGGGCTTGAGCTCGACGGCGGAGGTCTCGACCCCTAGCCGTTCGATGACCTCCGGGTTGACGACGAAGACGGTTCCGCCGTGGAGGCTTCGCTCGCGGGTGGCCACGTCCTTCACTTTCTGGTGGACCTGCGAGAGTGAGTGAGTGAGTGAGTGAGTGAGAAGATGTCGGTGTCGGTGGTGGAGATGGCGGGGGGCGGGGGGCACCAAGAAAGCGTGCACAGAGTTAACGAGAGGCAAGTGACCAACGCGTCAACTTTTTTTTTTTCTTGTGCGGCACCGACAGACACCCAGGCATTCATACCAGCAGCTTTTCGAACAGGGGCCCCGCAGACGGGGGACGGCCACGAGCCACCTTGCTTAAAAACACGATCTTGCGCTTCGCAACAACGCACACAAAACAAGCGCGCCCACCACCACCTCAGAGGCGCCGCGGGCTCCAACAGCAGTAGCAGCAGCAACGCATGTAAGCGCGCTACAACCGAGCCCCCTCCGATAAAGGTGCATATTCACCCTCCAAAACAAAGACGCGCGTGTGCCGAAGACATGTTGCGTCCCCGACGCTGATTTAAAATACTTACCAAAAGACATCAATAAAACACGCCTAACCTACAAGGAACACTGTATCGTTTAAATCATGGCACGGAATTCAATTTTATTGCATCCCCAGCGAAAAGTGTGCCTGCCGCAAATGATAGAAGTAGATACCAAACGCACCGACTTCTTGGTGCATTGGGGGTGCTCGGCGACGAAGGCGCTTACGACGTCCTCCCGCTTGTCGGCCTTGCCGTGAAGCTTTTCCACCAGCAGGGGAAGCAGCTCGTCAGGCACGTCCTGCGCACCCAAGACGGAGAAGACGCACCGGGGGCTTGGTTAGGAAACGTAAAGCAATAAGGACTACCAACATGTCCCCTCGAGAGACAGACAACATCCCCAATCGAAACGATCTGTTCGCACGAAGTCCATCCAGTGAGTGTTGAGAAACAGGACATCGCCTCGTTTTCCGCCACAACAAGCTGTCTGCGGTTCTATCGGTAAAACACACACACATACACACCTTGACCTTGCGGACCTTCCCCTCCTCCTTCAACACCCCGGACCCTGCCCCCGCCTCTCCTCGCTCCCCGGTGTCACTCCCCCTGGCCTTCTCCGCCATGGCCTCCACCACCGACACCGGAAACGCGGGGCTCCGCGGCCTCCTGCCGTTCCCGCCGGAGAACGGGGTCACCGCGCGGTAGCCAGAGAGCGCCTGCAGTGCCGGCCTCTCGCTAGCCTCCTCGTCGCTGATTGGTCGACGCCGGAACATGATCGCAGAGACGAAGGCCGGTTGTTGTTGTTGTTGTTGCTGCTGCTGCTGCTGCTGCTGCGCGTTGGAGGCGGAGCCTCCGGCGACGGCGGCGGCCGCCCCGGCGCCGATGGTCACGCCCTCGCCGACAAAGCCCGACGCCTTCCTGTTATTATTGTTGTTGTTGTTGTTGTTGTTGTTGTTGGCGTTGTTGTTGCTCTTGCCGCTATCGAAGCGGTCGATTTCCTCGTCGCTGAACTCGTCGTCCTGGCGGAGCCACCCGTCCTGTCCAGGTGTTAGTTATGTATTGTCGTTTCGAAAAATAAAAAAAAGGGGCGGGGGGGGGGGNGGGGGGGGGGGGGGGGGGGGGGGGGGGGGGGGGGGGGGGGGGGGGGGGGGGGGGGGGGGGGGGGGGGGGGGGGGGGGGGGGGGGGGGGGGGATGGTAACGATGGTGGTGGTGGATCGGGATGGGGATGGGGAGGGGATGTTCAAAAAGAACTGCCGATGAAAGCAAGCGGCAGCAGGGACAAACGCTACACACCAACACCAGTGACGGAAAGGAGCAAAGGGCAAAGGAGGAAAACGTCCCAACAACCGACTGGCTGACACCACACAAGCCCCCCCAAAAAAAAAAAAAATCACGCCTAAGGGTAACATCGGCACCACCTGTTGCGCGCGGGGCAACAACAGCACCGCAATCACCATCAACACCACCAAATCCAACACCAACACCACCAAAAACAACACCAACACCACCAAATCCAACACCAACACCACCAAAGCCAACACCAACCCCACCAAAAACAACACCAACACCGCCAAAAACAACATTTACAACAACAGCAGCCTGGTCCCTTGCCTTGTAGTCGAGGTTGTCTTCAGGCTCGACCTCTTCGTCCGAAAGAAGATCTTCACCCTGCGCCTCCTCCTCCCAGTCCTCTGAGAACAAAAAAAGACACGCACAGGTGAGGGGGGGGGGGGG